TTCAATAACCAGCATCGTTTTCATATTGCTTTCCTTGACGAATTCGAGCTACTTTTTTAAATGATTTTTCTAATTCTTCTGCTTTATATGTCATATCTCTAAATTCTTATTTTTTCCCCCCTAATTCTTAATAAAGCAGCTGATCTAAACTCCCTCTCTAAGGTTTTGGTGTCATATTTGGTCATATTTTTCTGTTAAATATTCTTTATTTCTTAAATCTCCCCCCTCTTCATCATCTTCTGCAACTTCTCAATTTCATTATCAGCAATTAGATTTCTGACTTGTTCTAACTTCTTTTCTAATCGGGTATACTCAGCCAGTCTAATCCTTAGTTGTTCATCATAATCTTTATTCTTACCCATTTCCCGCAAGTTTAGAAAGTCTTTCATACTTAATTGGTGAATATAATCTTGTTCTTGGACAGTCTGAGGAGCAGTTCAATCGCGATAAACTATTACTTTACCATCTTTTCAGGAATTGGTTATTTTTTCTTTAAGATTAGTTCACGCTTTTAACACTTCACTGTTTTTTTTTTTTTTTTTTGGCATTAGTCAGGATTATTTATTGGGTTTAATTTAGCCAATAATTCTTGACATTCTTTGACGATTTGTTCATTCTTTAACTTTTGCTGATTAAAATTATCAATTACCGAATTATCATGGAGGGTAGTTGCTAACTGGTTTATTTCTTGGCTAATGGCTTCTTTTTCAACGGTAATATCGGCGCGCTGTTCTTCATTGGTTACTGCTTCTTGTTGTTGAGTTAAGCGTTCCTTTTCTTGCTCGATTGAACGACGATTTAATAAGGGTGGGTGGGAGTGTTCGGTGGTAAAAGCTGAGGCTTGGTGGAGACGAAACTCAACGGCCTCAATAATTAGGGCTTTATTTTTAACAAAAGGTTGAATTAGTTCTTTAAGAGTAGTTCACTCCTGGATTATTTGTTGGGATTTAGTCATGCTTAGTTAATAATTCCTTTCATTCCACTAACTTCTTTCTCACTAACTCCAACTTCCCTTCCAACTTATTCAGCTTCTTTTGTAAAGGTTGACTATTTTCTGATTCAGTTAGTTGGTGAGATAAAGCTCTAATTTGGCTTTGTAAATCAGCTAACTCGGTTTCTTTTAAAGCTAAAGCCGTAGTTAGTTGTTGGTTTTCCGTGCGGAGTTCAGATTGTTGAGCTTCCGGAGTAAGTCCTTTTAATTCCGTTTGCAGTTGGTTAATTTGGGCTTGTAATTGAGTGGAGTAGGGACTAAGCACGACATCTAAATGATCCGAGTTATCACCGCACTGACCACAACGAGCAGGAATAGGTCGGCTATTACAAGTTAAACACTTAAAAAATACGGAACTGGTTGGCATCTTATCCTAATTGTTCAGCTAACTCTTTGAACTCTTTCAGCAATTGCTCTAAAACTTTTTCATTTTCTTGGTTTTCTTTTTCTGCTAATTCTAATTGGCGATTAGATTCTTGGAGTT